GTGTGTGCGTGTGCTGGATGATGTGTGTGCGCGCGCTGGATGACGTGTGTGTGAGTGCTGGATGATGTGTGCGTGAGTGCTGGATGATGTGGGTGTGTGTGCTGGATGATGTGTGTGAGTGCTGGATGATGTGTGTGAGTGCTGGATGATGTGTGTGTGTGCTGGATGATGTGTGTGTGAGTGCTGGATGATGGGTGTGTGAGTGCTGGATGATGGGTGTGTGAGCGCTGGATGATGGGTGTGTGTGTGTGCTGGATGATGGGTGTGTGTGTGCTGGATGATGTGTGGGTGCTGGATGAGTGCTGGATGATGGGTGTGTGAGTGCTGGATGATGGGTGTGTGAGCGCTGGATGATGGGTGTGTGTGTGTGCTGGATGATGGGTGTGTGTGTGCTGGATGATGTGTGTGAGAGTGCTGGGGGGGGGGAAGCATTTTTTTACTTTATGTATAATTTGTATTTTATTCCCCCCTCCCTGCTTCTTACCTTGTCAGGGAGGGGGGAGATTGCTGGTGGTCCGGTGGTATGCTGGAGGGAGGCAGCCGCTGCACAGAGGTGCCATCACACGCAGTGTTCCCTCTCCAGCTCTAACTCTCGCGAGACTCGCCTGTGCGGAGCGTTGCCGCGGGTCTCGCGAGAGTTATAGCTGGAGAGGGAACACAGCGTGTGCTGGCCCCTCTGTGCAGGTAGCAAGGCCGGTCCTGCAGGACAGGTAACGGGAACGGCGTTCCTGCTATGGAAAAAGTGCAGGAACGCCGTTGTGTGAGTGCTGGATGATGTGTGTGTGAGTGCTGGATGATGTGTGAGTGAGTGCTGGATGATGTGGATGTGTGTGTGTGTGCTGGATGATGGGTGTGTGAGTGCTGGATGATGTGTGTGTGAGTGCTGGATGATGTGTGTGTGTGTGTGTTGGATGATGGGTTTGTGAGTTCTGGATGATGGGTGTGCTGGATGATGTGAGTGCTGGATGATGGGTGTGTGAGTGCTGGATGATGTGTGTGTGAGTGCTGGATGATGTGTGTGTGTGTGCTGGATGGTGGGTGTGTGTGTGCTGGATGATGGGTGTGTGTGTGCTGGATGATGGGTGTGTGTGTGCTGGATGATGGTGTGTGAGTGCTGGATGATGGGTGTGTGTGTGCTGGATGATGGGTGTGTGAGTGCTGGATGATGGGTGTGTGAGTGCTGGATGATGGGTGTGTGTGTGCTGGATGATGGGTGTGTGAGTGCTGGATGATGGGTGTGTGTGTGTGTGCGCTGGATGATGTGGGTATGTGTGCTGGATGATGGGTGTGTGTGTGTGTGTGCTGGATGATGGGTGTGTGTGTGTGCTGGATGATGGGTGTGTGAGTGCTGGATGATGGGTGTGTGGGTGCTGGATGATGTGTGGGTGCTGGATGATGGGTGTGTGTGTGCTGGATGATGTGTGGGTGCTGGATGATGTGTGTGTGAGTGCTGGATGATGTGTGGGGGGGGGGGGAAGCATTTTTTTACTTTATGTATAATTTGTATTTTATTCCCCCCTCCCTGCTTCTTACCTTGTCAGGGAGGGGGGAGATCGCCTGGTTGTCCGGTGGTATGCTGGAGGGAACCAGCCGCTGCACACAGGAGCCATCACACGCTGTGTTCCTTCTCCAGCTCTAACTCTCGCAAGACTCGCCTGTGCGGAGCGTTGCCATGGTAACAGCCACGGGTCTCGCGAGAGTTATAGCTGGAGAGGGAACACAGCGTGTGCTGGCCCCTCTGTGCAGGTAGCAGGGCCGGTCCTGCAGGACAGGTAACGGGAACGGCGTTCCTGCTTTGGAAAAAGTGCAGGAACGCCGTTCCCATGCGTTCCTGCAGGACTCGAGCCCTGGGTATAGGATAGAAATTAGAGATCTCTTTCCTGATAATGGAAATCTTCTCAGTAAAGTACTTTGCGAAGTTAGTGGTGGTTAAGTTAGTATAATGGCGGTATAGTTAGAATGTATACATTAGGTATATTTTAATTAGATATTGCTAAACTTAGCTTATTCTAAAATATGTCATTTGACAAATAGAACACTTAGTCTCTGCGGGGCAGCGCTACAACATTCCCTGAATGCCACACAGATATGCGTATTGACAGAAATACTTTGTCAGCCCATTTTTATTAACTTCTCATATCTCCGCAGTATCGCTGATAAATGGACTGTCATTTTAACAAAGATTTATTAATATTTATTAATCTACATTTGGTATCGGTTTCACCTGGGTCACCGCAGTGTAGAGCTGGCTCATGGCAGATGGAAATCCTCCTGGCAACGTTAAGGTAAATATATAGAACGCTATAATTGAAATAGTCTGGGTGCAGTGTCCCAGCACCCTTAGCTAGGGTTAACTCCTCCTCTAGTGGCTGTCTACAACATAGCCTCTAGAAGAACTTCTGGGTGGATAGGCGACTTTTGGTCACCTAAATGATGCTGGACGTCCTCACGTTATGCTGAGAACTTCCAGTGTCACCGAAATCCCCATTGGAAAGCATTGAATAATAATGCTTTTCTATGTGGAAATCCAAATGCAAGTATGACCATTGCCGCGCATGCGCATTAGGTCCCCCCTCTGGCTGACATTGGCAGGGGAGGAGTGAATGTGGACCCAAGGTGTTAGACTCAGGCAAGAGACATAACCCCTTCTGCAGCACAGGGGGTGGGCCTTGACAGAGGAGGAAGCTATAGTGCCAGGAAAATTAGTTTCTTTTCCTGGCACTATAGTTTCCTTTTAAGGAATAGTTTGAGGGAAAATAGAGTCATGTCCACAAATGCTTGCAGTTTAGGGAATAAGATCCATGACCTTGTGGCAATAATGGCAACTAAGAATGTAGATTTAGTCGCGGTTACTGAGACATGGTACAATGAGAAAAATGACTGGAACATAGCAATACCAGGGTACTCTTTATATAGAAAAGACAGGGAAGGCAAGAAAGGGGGAGGGTGGCCTGTATGTGAAGGATAGCATAAAATCTAGCCTAACAAAAGTTAGAGAGGTGAACATATAGTCAGTTTGGCAGTGGCGTGCACATGACCCATGGGGCCCCAGTTCGAAAATTGATCCGTGGGCCCTCCCCCCACTCTGCGCGGGCCAGGGCACACAAACACACTCACTGACACTCACTAGCAGACACACACACACATGTTTTTTTTAAAATGTAATCCCCCAGCCTACTTACCTTTGGGAGAGCTGAGGGGATTCCCTGGGGTCAAGTGGTGCTGCTGGGCGGCCGGTCACCGGGCTGGCTGTCTGGCTGGCAGACGCGCGAGGGAGAACTCTCCCCTGAGCCCTCTCTGCCCAGCTCCCTCGCGCGCCCCCAGGACCGGCCACCTGGTGACACCAGGGCCAGCCTCAGGGGGGCCCCCCAGGAAAAGAGGCTGGCCACAATGGCGTGCATATGGGTTGCAGGGCGGCCAGGCCCCCAGGTGGGCCGGGCCCGGTCGCAGCCGCGACCCCTGTGACCCCAGTATGTACGCCACTGCCTTTTGGGTTACGTTAGAATTTGGAACACAGCAACATGTGTAGGTGTGATTTATAGGTGTAACGGTCTTACCTTGGTTGGAGTCTGAAGTGCAGAGATCCCAAAAAGTTACCCAAAAACACATTACACCCCCTGATAGCCCTGATCTGGGTGACCAACATATCCAAAAATCACCCAGATCAGTTCAGGGATTCAGGAATTAACTGGAAGTCATTTAATTGATCGACCGGAGGCATGGACCCATGACCAAAACAGTTCCAGAGAATCTGGGCTTGTGGTCGGTCTAGTTCGGTAGTTTGAAAATGAACAAACTACAGAACAGAGTCAATAGTCTTACCCTGGAGCTTGTTCCCCTCATCCAGACAAATGATTTTACCGAACAGTGCCCTTCTAAATTGTATAGAAACTAACGCAGGCGATGATAGAAGTCCAGTGGTGTTCGGGAGTTTCTGTGTCCGATTTTAGTTCCATGAGATTCATGTCCAAACACCGCTGCCTGCATTCATGCAAACAAGATGGCCTCCTCCTCGTGTCACCCAGACAAAATATTAGAACATGGCGGTGAGAAAGGTGTTAAGAAGCTCCAGGGTGGTCTCTGGTTTGTGCAGTTGTTCGTTACTGAACCATATAATCCCAACTGCACGAACAGAGTCTTTTTAACATTATATTTCACAGGGTCCATAGTCTGTGGGCAGGAGCTCGTGGCAACTCATGTAAAAAGGGGAGTTTGTCACAGTCCCATTCTCTTTAATATTTTTATTAGTGATATTGTAGAAGGCCTTGACGGTAAGGTATGTCTTTTTTGCTGATGATACTAAGATATGTAACAGGGTTGATGTTCCAGGAGGGATAAGGCAAATGGCAAATGATTTAGGTAAACTAGAAAAATGGTCAGAATTGTGGCAACTGACATTTAATGTGGATAAGTGCAAGATAATGCATCTTGGACATAAAAACACAAGGGCACAGTGCAGAATATTTGATAGAGTCCTAAACTCAACATATGAGGAAAGGGATTTAGGGGTGATTATTTCTGATGACTTAAAGGTAGGCAGACAATGTAATAGAGCAGCAGGAAATGCTAGCAGAATGCTGTATAGGGAGAGGTATTAGCAGTAGAAAGAGGGAAGTGCTCATGCCATTGTACAGAACACTGGTGAGACCTCACTTATTATTATTATCGCCATTTATATAGCGCCAACAGATTATTACTATTAGAGGGGGGATTTAACTATAAATAGGACAATTACAAGAAAACTTATAGAAACGATAGGTTGAAGAGGGCCCTGCTCAAATGAGCTTACAGTCTATAGGAGGTGGGGTATAAAACACATTAGGACTCTACTCTCTCCTCCAGGTGGGAGTGAAGCAGAGCTGGAGGAGAGAGTAGAGTGCTTCCCTTTAGGAGAGAGCAAGAGACAGGTATGTGAGGTAGAGGTTAGTTTGAGAGGCCATAGGCTTTCCTAAAGAAATGGGTTTTAAGGTACTTCTTAAACGATTGAAGACTAGGGGAAAGTCTGATGGTGGTAGGCAGGCTATTCCATAGGAAAGGAGGCACCCGCGAGAAGTCCTGCAAGCACGAGTTGGCCATACAAGTGCGAGCAGTGGACAGAAGAAGGTCACGGGCAGAGTGGAGAGACCGAGAAGGGGCATACCTATGGATCTGTGAGGAGATATAAGAGAGGCCAAGCTTGTTCAGTGCTTTATAGGTATGGGTTAGCACTTTGAATTGACTCCTATAGTATACAGGAAGCCAATTTAAGGACTGACAGAGTGGTGAGGTGTGAGAGGAACAACTAGAGAGGAAAGTCAGTCTGTCGGCAGCATTCCTTATAGACTGTAGTGGGGCAATATGGCTATTGGGAAGACCAATTTGGAGAGAGTCACAATAGTCCATGCAAGAGATTACTAGAGAATGGA